GGTTCCGTTCTTATCGATTATATAGTACTTCGGTTCGCGTTGAAGTACTTTGAAAGGTCCTTCGTATGCTGATTCGGAAGGTCGTCGATGCGAGTCTCGACGAATGAAAACGTGTGTACTATATCGTAAGTCAGGTTGAACGAAAACATCGGTTGATTGTGGTCGAGTGGAAGCAGGTTTAACTGAACGCATTGTGTTTGTAAGCCTGTTCGTGTAGGAGGTTAGATCCACGTTCATTGAAGAGGACGAAGGATCCACAAATTCTCCTGGAAGTCGAAGTGTTGTTCCATAAACGAGTTGAGCCGCAGTGTATCCAATGTCAGCTTTCACTGCATTGCGGATACCTAGTAAGACGAGTGGGAGAGCGTCGGTCCACTGTGAGACGTTCGCAGCTGATAGTGAAGCTTTTAGTTGTCGGTGAAAACGTTCTACCAACCCGTCTGCTTGTGGATGGTAGGCGGTCGTTCGGAAGCGAGTGATTTCTAAAAGTGTGGTCAGACGACGGAAAAGTTCAGATTCAAACTGACGTCCGCGGTCTGTGATGGTGGTTGAAGGGCAGCCGAGGTTCGCTACCCATCGTTCGACGAAGGTGCGCGCCACTGTTTCAGTAGTGATGTCCTTGATAGGTACTGCTTCTAGTCATCGAGTGAAACGGTCTGCGCAGGTTAAGAGGTAAGAGTATCCATTTGAATCTGGTAACGGTCCTACCAAATCCAGATGAACATGGTCGAAACGAGCATCGGGAGTTTCGAACGAGCCTAAGGGACATTTATTGTGTCTGATAACCTTAGATTTTTGGCAGCTTACACAGGAGCGTGCCCACTCCCTCACGTCTTTATTCATGCCAGGCCAGCAAAACCGTTCTGCTATAAGCTTGATGGTTGCACCTGTAGATGTGTCACAAAGTAAGGTTTCCTTACCTGTTCCCATCTGTTTGATGCGTAGTTTAAGGGTTGTGGACGATAACTCGTGCTGAAGATCACTGTCTTCTTTTTGAAGCTCGGCGAGTTTAAGAAGGTCGATTCCTTGGAAACTGTTCAAGGAAGTTATGCGAGATAAAGCGTCTGCAACTACATTGTTTGCTCCAGAGACGTGTAGAATGTCTGAAGTAAACTGCGAAATGTAGTCCAGTTGTCGAGACTCACGAGGAGAGTACTTGTCAGAAGGAGAGCTTAACGAGAAAGTGAGCGGTTTATGGTCCGTGAAAAGAGTGAATTCACGACCTTCGATGTAGTGTCGAAAATGTCGTACAGCACAATACGTAGCTAAGAGTTCCCTACCGAATGTGCTGTACCTCGATTCGGTGTCTAGCAACCTTCTAGAGAAAAATGCCAAGGGTTGCCAGGAGTTGTTAACCCATTGTTGTAAGACTCCTCCGATTGCCGAGTCGGATGCGTCTACTGCGATACTAATGGGTGCTTCGGTGTCCTGATGTGCGAGCATTGTTGCTTTAGCGATCAGTTCCTTAACTGTGGAGAATGCTTTTCGTGCGGTGTCGTCCAAATTAATGGATTTCGCATTTCCACGAAGTTGGTCGGTCAGAGGTTTCATAAGTAATGCGCATTTCGGTATGAAACGTCTATAGAAACTTACGAGGCCATTAAACGTGCGTAATTGCTTGACGATAGTCGGTTCTGGGTAATCCAGAATGGCCGCCGCTTTGGTTCTAAGGGGTCGGATACCTTGAGCATCGATAGTGTGTCCCAGAAAGTCTAATGAGTCGGTTCCGAATTGGCATTTCTGAACGTTTACAGTAATGCCATGTTTTCGTAGTCGTTCGAAAACAAGATCCAGATGCTTGAGATGTGATTCTCTGTCCGGACTTGCGATTAGACAGTCGTCAACATACGCGCGTACGAAGTTGAGACCTCGAAAAACGTCGTCTATGAATCTTTGGAATGTTTGAGCAGCATTCCTTAGACCGAAAGGCATTCGCAAAAATTCATAGAGTCCGAAGGGAGTTATGATAGCTGTTTTCGGTATGTCGTCAGTAGCCATAGGGATTTGGTTATACGCTTTAACCAAGTCGATTTTCGAAAAGAAAGTTGTACCTTTCAAGGTAGCTGTCAAATCGTGAATGTGAGGCAACGGGTAACGATCGGGAATGGTTTTTGCGTTCAATCGCCGATAGTCACCAGTTGGACGCCAATCGTTGCTGTCCTTTTTAGGGACCATGTGCAACGGAGATGCATATGGGCTACTTGACGGTCGTATGATTCCTAAGTCTATCATATGGTCAAACTCGTTTTTCGCCAACCCCAGCTTTTTGGGAGCTAGTCGTCGTGCTTTAGAGAATACAGGTGGTCCTGTAGTCGTGATGTGATGTGTAACGTTGCTGGTTACACGCGGTAGTTTCGGTTGAGTTTGTTGTATCCCATGGTACTCATCGAGTAGTTGCTGATAGAGTGGGTCTACCATATGCTTAATTGTGACTGGGGATAATTTGCAACCAGAAAAGGAAGTTACGCAAACAGATAAATTAGTGTTTCCGTCTACTAGCCTCCGTTTGCGTGTATCGATGATCAGATTGTGGTGTTGTAGAAGGTCCATATCAATAATTGGCATAGAAACATCTGCAACAACGAAGATTCAGTGAATGGGTTTGCGTAAACCCACGTTAAGGTAAACGTACCTTTTGCCATACGTAGCGATAGATTTTCCGTTTGCCGCCTGTAAGTTTAAAGCCCATTCGTGAGGCCGGTCGTTGGGATTCGCTTGGAGAACATTAACTTCTGCGCCAGTGTCGACGAGGTAGCGAACTCTCGTTGTCACATCTGTGACGTATAACAGACGGTTATGTTCACCAGCTACGGTTGCCGTTAACGCGTGCCGGCTTGAAAGTTTTCCAAGTTGTTTTTCGAGCCAGTCTGTTTCGTGTTGTGAAAATTGCAGGGTTTTCTGCAATTTCTGGAAGACTTTCCATACTGGTTATGATACCAGCACCAGTCGGGGTTATCCGTCTCTCGTGGTCTAGGGACAGATCGCTTACGTGAAATGCTTCTACGTGGGGTGTGTGAGCGCTTACGGTCATTACGAAGATTAAGATAACGCGTGAGGGTACGACATCACTCGGTAATGTCATTCTGAGTCGTGTGAGGCTTTTCTCTGACTGAAAATACCTCGGTAGTAGATTTCGTAATTTCTAAAATATGATCGGCAGATGCAGCCAGTTCGTCTAAGGCGTTGTTCTGAAACGAGACCAGAACCGCTTGCACCTGTTGGGGAAGTTTAGACAAGAAAAGTTGTTTGAATAGACCTTCGTCGAAAGTTCTTGGGCCTACAACCTCTCTCATCCTTTGCAACATGTCCGTCACAGAACCGTGCTGCAGGTCGATGTTATTAAAGAGTTGATCTAACGTTTGTCGATCGGTTAGGTCTCCCCGTTTTAAGGTTTCTTAAGGGTCAGAAACATCACTAGCAAACATACTAGGTGTTACGTACCTGTTGAATTCGCGCGGTAGTGCCTTGACTACTGCGAGGAATTGTGCACGTGTGTCGAAGTCGGCTTCTGCGTAGCAAAACCAGTCTTCGATGTTGTCGGGCCAGAAAGGCATGAGTTGAAACGAAGGTGTGAACATGGTCTTAATCTTAAATACTTTAGGAGTCTGTTCGGTCATGATGAAATATGAAGTCCAATAATGAACGAGGGGAAAATATATATATATGTATATCCAAAAAAAACACGAAAAAAATATCACAATGTATAAAAAATAAGAAATAAGGCAATAATATATAAAAATCCGAAAAAGGAACAGACTCACAGTTGCAATTCGGTGTACCAGATCACGTCCGTCTCACCAATGAAGATGTTACAAGTATTCAGTGTTAGACAACGCTTCTACCAGTAACACCTTCTAATATGATTTGTACCCACCGAGAGAAATCAAAAGACAGAGTCGAGGAGATCGGAAGAGTGTATTTGGCGATAACCAAAATATCGGAATTCTCTGATCTAATCTGGCTAGCGATTGCGGTTGATGTTGAGCACGGCGTTACCACACGTGATCTGGTACGGATGCATGACCGAGCGCCTTCAGCTAGATGAGTCCACTAAAGCATACGGTCAGCATCCAATGTCGAAAACTTACAGGGCTATTTATTTTGGGGATTTATTTACTGCTACACTATTATATGAAATCTTAGAGTTTTAGATAAGAGATTATGCCATCCATAACCGAATTTTCACGCTGAATTTCAGCACTGGAGTTTGTCTTAACACTTATAATGATTGATGGTCAGCTTTCGACTAATTTGAGTGATAAGAATGTAATAAATGACGTTTGTACCAATATGACGGTGGTGATAATCGGTCAAACTCCAAGAGTCACGGCCTGATCGGACAGTCGTAACACCCCAGTTAATCGAAATTTTCATAACGGATGAGGGCAGTTGTGTGAAGATTTGCTGTCAACCGTTGTGGATCGGGTCTTTAGATTTCGCATCTGCTTGTAGTTTCGGAACAATTATAATGCCTTAATAGAGCACATCTACGTGTTTTCTTGTTGAAAAGTCCTTCAATTACGATACTTCCAGAAGAATCTGGAAATATTTCACTCATCTAGGTCGGAGTTACGCTAGTAAGACACTCTACAAAGCTTTAGAATACAGGGAGTTAAACGACTGATTCTCAGTTGATTTATATGTACAGAATCATTCATAAAAAAGATTTGCAGATGTTACGAAGTACATCCCCAATAATTAACTGCTCTAAAAATGTAATGGCCTCATGTGAAATAAGACCCATATGGATGACAAGGTAAATTTTATTTTACATTTATACCTGGAATATCGTCATCCATTAACTCGAGAAATGTAATACATGAGTAACAAGCTGCTGGCTAACAATAACTTTTCACAGCAAAATAAACAGGGTATGATTCGTATTGAACAATTTTCGGAAATCACTGTGGTGGGCGTGTTGTTTTACTGATCTAAATTAGAAGTATCGTCGCACTAACTGAAAGTAAGGTATATATAGCCAGCAAGATCGAAAGTGTTCCATATTTGTTCCTCAGTTAACACTAGACTTTGAGATGCAGATTTTTGTGAAGACATTGACTGGTAAAACGATCACTTTGGAAGTCGAACCGAGTGACACCATTGAGAATGTGAAGGCTAAGATCCAAGATAAAGAAGGAATTCCACCCGATCAACAGCGTCTGATCTTTGCTGGGAAGCAGCTGGAAGATGGTCGTACATTGTCTGATTACAATATCCAGAAAGAGTCCACTCTTCACTTGGTGTTACGTCTTCGTGGTGGTATGCAGATTTTTGTGAAGACATTGACTGGTAAAACGATCACTTTGGAAGTCGAACCGAGTGACACCATTGAGAATGTGAAGGCTAAGATCCAAGATAAAGAAGGAATTCCACCCGATCAACAGCGTCTGATCTTTGCTGGGAAGCAGCTGGAAGATGGTCGTACATTGTCTGATTACAATATCCAGAAAGAGTCCACTCTTCACTTGGTGTTACGTCTTCGTGGTGGTATGCAGATTTTTGTGAAGACATTGACTGGTAAAACGATCACTTTGGAAGTCGAACCGAGTGACACCATTGAGAATGTGAAGGCTAAGATCCAAGATAAAGAAGGAATTCCACCCGATCAACAGCGTCTGATCTTTGCTGGGAAGCAGCTGGAAGATGGTCGTACATTGTCTGATTACAATATCCAGAAAGAGTCCACTCTTCACTTGGTGTTACGTCTTCGTGGTGGTATGCAGATTTTTGTGAAGACATTGACTGGTAAAACGATCACTTTGGAAGTCGAACCGAGTGACACCATTGAGAATGTGAAGGCTAAGATCCAAGATAAAGAAGGAATTCCACCCGATCAACAGCGTCTGATCTTTGCTGGGAAGCAGCTGGAAGATGGTCGTACATTGTCTGATTACAATATCCAGAAAGAGTCCACTCTTCACTTGGTGTTACGTCTTCGTGGTGGTATGCAGATTTTTGTGAAGACATTGACTGGTAAAACGATCACTCTGGAAGTCGAACCGAGTGACACCATTGAGAATGTGAAGGCTAAGATCCAAGATAAAGAAGGAATTCCACCCGATCAACAGCGTCTGATCTTTGCTGGGAAGCAGCTGGAAGATGGTCGTACATTGTCTGATTACAATATCCAGAAAGAGTCCACTCTTCACTTGGTGTTACGTCTTCGTGGTGGTATGCAGATTTTTGTGAAGACATTGACTGGTAAAACGATCACTTTGGAAGTCGAACCGAGTGACACCATTGAGAATGTGAAGGCTAAGATCCAAGATAAAGAAGGAATTCCACCCGATCAACAGCGTCTGATCTTTGCTGGGAAGCAGCTGGAAGATGGTCGTACATTGTCTGATTACAATATCCAGAAAGAGTCCACTCTTCACTTGGTGTTACGTCTTCGTGGAGGTTAATTTTATTTCAGTTCATTTACCTTAATAAACTTTTAATTTAATTTAGTTCTCTATTTGTTTCGTTCTTGATTCTTCGTGTGTGTATGTGTCTAGTGTAACTGTGACTCCTAATCAATGTAGATTTGCTGGTGTTATGCAATTAAGCCTATCGAGTTATGTTATACCAGTTACCTGAGTTTAGTAAGTTTCGATGTTCCGATTTTATTAGGATTAGTGTCGTATTGATTTGTATCCATATTTCCGTCCTTGATCTTACTGCGTTGGTCGCATTGCTAACTTGAATGTTTATCGTACGTTATTGCCTGCCCGGACTGGTATGCTGAAGTGTACGTGCGGTTCTGTCAACTCGTAATTAATGTTTGTAACAAGTCTCGTGGAAAAGTTTACATGCTCTAGATTAGCCGAATATATATCTATTCTCTTCATGACTGTCCGGGTGACATGTGCGTGAGTCCAGACTACCTGGCTGAGGTCCGAGTAATCGTTTTTAACGGTGGCTAGAGACTGGTTGACATATCTAAAAATAGTTCGCAGTAGCCCCGGGCGCGTTTATGTCATCTTTCCTTTGATTCTAAATCGAAGTTTTAATTATTAGTCTATACTTTCCCAAGCTATCTGCGATGCTTGTTCCTTTTGTCACCATTGCAGTTACTACTCCTGACAACCTGGGTATTGTTTTGGTAATTTCATCTTATCATGAGAATGGGGCGTGAATGGTGAAGCAAGTGCAGGAGGTTAAAGACACCGAGGACTGTGTGAGCTCATCTTTTCGATGATAATCGGCCAGACTTTTAACCGGCATCTTTAGTGAAAACCAGTTTTCAAATAAATATCTTAGTAAGTTTTGCGGCGTGGCTTGATGTCATTTTAACGGGACTAGCGTGTTTGTTTTCAGGAGCTCTTCATTATTGAGAAGGTGTCATTTGTCTCATTGCCCTATCAACTTTTCTCAACCTCGTCAAATATAAGTGTGATAACGTAGTCCTGCATGGTATGATGTTGTGCGCAATCGTTCGTTATGCCTAACGTGTCAGTATCGTCTTTTACAGTTTGGGGCTTGATGTCTTCGCCCGAACCTAGTATCAATAGCCGTTGTGTGACAGTTTGATAACCTCAAAGTAAAGCGAGCGTCTGGTATTTCCACGTTTGTTTACAACACTGCCGTTAGTTTATTCAATAGTTTGATTGATAATGCTTATTAGTCGTCCGTTAATGTATGAACAGACTTTCAGTTTGTACTGGTTCTTAATTTCTAGGCTACAAGAAAATCCCAGTCTCCTTAGACGTGGGATGTTGATATCAGTATTCTTCTTAGGCGTTAACTGGTTAAGTATTAGCTTGAATATTTATTTACGACTAGTAGGATCTTCTCTAGTCTCATTTTATAATTTTAATAACTTCGTCTAGCAGTATCACTGAACATCTTACATTACGGAAATCTTTCGTCCTTAAACTCATCTGGGACTTCTGTCGGTCTAAATCCGGATAAAGGATAAGGGTTGGGAGTGGTGTTCGAAGCCCTTTGTTAAGAAAAGCTGCTCCGAATCACTAATCAGAGTTGGAGATCCTTAGATAATGCATGTACCTTTATTTCTTTTGACACTTATCATTGGAGGGGCTCTGGATATGTCTGCATTCAAAGTGTTTTGAACGTTCTTGAATTACTTAATTCGAATGAAGCCTTAAATATTCACTAACTGGAGGATTCGGAATACTTATATTACTCATCTCTGTTTTTGGCCTAAGGCTTGAGAAGCCAATTAAAGACGGCTTGGTATCATACACTAATGCCTTCTGGTTGGTTACTTTCTGATATAATAGCAACAGACTTAAGAGCATATTTAAACATAACGGAAAGCTAAACTGGCGACTTGTTCCAATACCATATTACTAGGACAATTGATAGGATACCCAAAACTAGCTAAGCTGACCATTAGTTAATTTTCAGGTTCGTACAGTCAGTCAGTCAGCTACAACGTAGGACCAGGCACATATGTGCATCGGTCCAGGTTGTCATACCTCATTAGCACAACAAGATGAACACCGGATTCATAGGAGTGGTTAGGTCAAAGGTTGCAATAAGGATATAGTATAGGAAGGAAGAATTAGTTCGTATGAAGTGATTTTAATCTCTTAGTTTAAGGGAAGACAAAGAGTGTATACACCGACGCCATTGTGATCGATTCTGAGCCATGTCACCAAGAGTCTCCAACCATTGGTTACGATAGTCACGCGGACCCCAACCAAGTAGTCTGCATCTACCAACATGGCTCAGACTAGAAGTTAGTGACTTCAAGCACTGATGCCACGTTTTGGTTTGGCCGCCCCTAACTTTCTTCCAACCATCCCCTACACCGGTTAGCATTGCACGTCGTGGTAATCGGTGTTCAGGCATACGTAATACGTGGCCCAACCATCTCAGTCGATGAAGATTCATAACCTCATCAACTGATTCACCATCATTCCCTAATACCCTGCGTCTAACCTCACTATTACTTACCCGGTGATCCCAGCAGATGCCAGCAATATTTCTAAGGCATCTGTGGTCAAATACTTGTAGCTTACGGGTGTCTTCTACTCTTAAAGGCCATGTTTCGCTGCCGTAAAGTAAGACAGAACGGACTGCCGCGCAGTATACTCGTCCTTTTATTGATAGACGGATATCTCGCCTTCGCCATAGGTGGCGCAAGTTGGCAAAAGCCAATCGAGCTTTTCGAATCCGTGCTGAGATTTCGTCAGACACCAACCCATTAGGGCTGATCAGACTTCCAAGATAAGTGAAGTTGTCGACGCGTTCGACTACTTCACTCCCTATCCTTAGTTCAGGTGTTGACGCAGACCAGTCCTGAAGCAACAACTTGCATTTAGAGGGAGAGAAGCGCATCCCAAACATTCTGGCATTGTTGCTCAGTGCTACCAGAAGACTCTGCATTTTGTCAGCGTCTTCACCAAACAGGACTATATCATCTGCGTATTCTAAGTCGATAAGTGGACCTCCTGGAAGGAGATCAATACCCGAGAATTCAGTCGACGAGAGTGTTATTTCCATCAATAGGTCTATGATGAAGTTAAACAAAAATGGAGAAAGTGGACAGCCTTGACGGACACCACTTGAAGTTGCAAAAGTAGATGACAGTTCGCCATAAGCTCTGACTCGACTAGTAGTGTTCGAGTAAAGAGCCTTCACAAGGTTTATGTACTTCTGAGGTTCGTACTATCGACATTAATGGTATACTGACCCTTGGTCTCTGATTCAGAAAGTCACAAGGCACTTGAAGTGTTTAGGATAACAGCCTTCTTCGATTTCACTTCAGATGTCCTTTTAGATTACGACTTTGGACTACAACTTGGGCGTGCTAGTTAGATGGTCATAATTCCATGCCTTCAATCGCTGGCAACTTAAGTTTATGAGAACAAAAACCTATCACTTTATGATAATCACAGAAGAGTCAGCTTAACTAGCATGGTTTTTAAGCATCATTGCACATTAGACATTTAAATAGAACATAGGGATAGGAAACCTTGGGTAGATCAGATACATCTCAGGTTTGGCTCGAAATGTATCGACCAATCGTCGTCTCGAGACATAATAAACCTCAACGGACTAAGACTATATCCGATTGCGTTGATCGAGAGGTCTTGTGATATCATCTTTTATTGAAAAGCGTTAAACAAATAGATATAATCGACGTAGAAAATGGCAGATGTATACATAAGTTTACATTACCACATTTCACCTCAGCATAATGAGACTAAATTCGCAAAAAGATAAGAAGCTGAAAATAACAATGTTTTCCCTATGAACACTGAAAAGGAGTAACATAGTCGTAGCACTTAACTGTGGTTAGTAGGTGTTAATTGCGGGTATAATAATACGGTCAAGGTTTAGGAAAATGAATGCGTCTGTTCCGACATTACCATTTTTGAGCTAATTATGCTAATGTTATGGTTACTGTTCTATTTCAAACCACCTACAATCAAAACTTCAACTCTATGCAGTCAGTCAGTCAGCTACAACGTAGGACCAGGCACATATGTGCATCGGTCCAGGTTGCCATACCTCATTAGCACAACAAGATGAACACCGGATTCATAGGAGTGGTTAGGTCAAAGGTTGCAATAAGGATATAGTATAGGAAGGAAGAATTAGTTCGTGGAAAGAAAGATATGAAGTGATTTAATCTCTTAGTTTAAGGGAAGACAGGGAGTGTATACACCGACGCCAATGTGATCGATTCTGAGCCATGTCACCAAGAGTCTCCAACCATTGGTTACGATAGTCACGCGGACCCCAACCAAGTAGTCTGCATCTACCAACATGGCTCAGACTAGAAGTTAGTGACTTCAAGCACTGATGCCACGTTTTGGTTTGGCCGCCCCTAACTTTCTTCCAACCATCCCCTACACCGGTTAGCATTGCACGTCGTGGTAATCGGTGTTCAGGCATACGTAATACGTGGCCCAACCATCTCAGTCGATGAAGATTCATAACCTCATCAACTGATTCACCATCATTCCCTAATACCCTGCGTCTAACCTCACTATTACTTACCCGGTGATCCCAGCAGATGCCAGCAATATTTCTAAGGCATCTGTGGTCAAATACTTGTAGCTTACGGGTGTCTTCTACTCTTAAAGGCCATGTTTCGCTGCCGTAAAGTAAGACAGAACGGACTGCCGCGCAGTATACTCGTCCTTTTATTGATAGACGGATATCTCGCCTCCGCCAAAGGTGACGTAAGTTGGCAAAAGCCAAACGAGCTTTTCGAATCCGTGCTGAGATTTCGTCAGACACCAACCCATTAGGGCTGATCAGACTTCCAAGATAAGTGAAGTTGTCGACGCGTTCGACTACTTCACTCCCTATCCTTAGTTCAGGTGTTGACGCAGACCAGTCCTGAAGCAACAACTTGCATTTAGAGGGAGAGAAGCGCATCCCAAACATTCTGGCATTGTTGCTTAGTGCTACCAGAAGACTCTGCATTTTGTCAGCGTCTTCACCAAACAGGACTATATCATCTGCGTATTCTAAGTCGATAAGTGGACCTCCTGGATGGAGATCAATACCCGAGAATTCAGTCGACGAGAGTGTTATTTCCATCAATAGGTCTATGATGAAGTTAAACAAAAATGGAGAAAGTGGACAGCCTTGACGGACACCACTTGAAGTTGCAAAAGTAGATGACAGTTCGCCATAAGCTCTGACTCGACTAGTAGTGTTCGAGTAAAGAGCCTTCACAAGGTTTATGTACTTCTGAGGTACGCCTTTCAATGACAGACACTGCCACAGAGTCTCGCGGTCTACAGAGTCAAACGCTGCTTTTAAGTCAAGAAAGACCACCATCGTCGGACGCCGATAGGTATGCCTGTGTTCTAGAACCTGACGAATGGTGAATATGTGGTCGATGCAGCCACGACCAGGTCTAAAGCCAGCTTGGTTCTCTCGAGTTTGTAGTTCACGAGTCTTAGTTAGGCGTCTGATAATTATCGAGGCCAGTATTTTAGATACTATGTTTGTTAAACTAATCCCTCTGTGGTTGTCACAGGATGATTTTGACCCTTTCTTATATATTGGGACGATGAGTGATTGCGACCAGTCAGATGGGATAAAGTCTAATTCCCAGATCTTAGCTAAAATATTAGTCAACCTAATCGCTAAAATTGGACCACCATCCTTAAAGACCTCTGGAGCCAATCCATCTGGACCAGCTGCCCTTCCTCGTTTCAGATTAACTATAGCCTTTTGAACTTCAGCAAGAGTTGGGGGACCTACTTCAATGTTCCATTCACATTGTCTGGGAATGGAGAGTAGTTGTAGAGTAGCTGAAGGCCAGCTGAACTGTTCTCTAAAATGTTCCGCCCATCGTTCTAAACGTCTGGACTGGGAGCAGATGAGAGTATCATCTTTTTCCGAAATAATCTCACTTACACTTGACTTATTAATTCCAGTTTCTTTTATTAGTCTGTAAAGCTGTCTTGTGTTCCCTATAGTCGCCGCCTTTTCCATCTCTTTTGCTTTCGTTACCCACCACTGCTCACGGTCGTTCCTTAGACTTTTTCTTAACCTAGATCTGATTTGTTTTCGCTCTTCATCATGTTCAGAACCTGATGGGACGAGTTTGCGAGAATCCATCAGTGTGACAGACCTTGAAGAAATCCACTGGTTCCTTGCAACTCTGTGGTTTAAGTCACTAATAGATGTCACTGCTGTTTCCACAGCTGATTGTATGCTCTTCCAAGCAACATCTGGGTCAGCCTCGTCTTCACAACTACCTAAGTGTGACCTCAGTTGTTCCTGGAACCTACTTTTGGTTTTCTCGTTACTCAACTCAGTTCTAACGGGTCTTTTTAATGTGGCTTTTTTGCGTCCAGTGAGGCGCAAGCAGATGCGTGCCCGTATTAGGGCATGGTCGGAGTCCAAGCAGGTACTCCAGAATGAGCGACAATCTTCTACCGACCCTCTCCAACGATGACTGATGGCAATATGGTCTATTTGAGTCCATCGTTGGTTTGGTGTAGGGGGTCGCCATGTTAGACGATGTCTCTCCTTATGCTTAAAATTTGTATTTGCTAAAAATAAACGATTGTCTGAGCATAGCTGCAGCAGACGATCACCGTTATCTGTTCGCTGTGTCGGAATACTAAAATATCCACCTAAATGCCTTTCTGTTTGGTTTAAGCTACCTATCTGAGCATTAAAATCACCTGCTACGAGTACTGTGTCTGAGTGTTTAGCTTTCTGAAGAAGTTCAGAAAGCTTTCTGTAAAATTCATCTTTCACATCACCTGAGCTGCAGTCAGTGGGAGCGTAGGCAGAAACGACAAAAAGGCAACGACGTGTGTCCCTATCCTTCCGAGTTCTTACGTAGCCGTTCAGCCGAACAGCACATAGACGACTGTTGACGGGGATCCACTCTAGCAGTGCTTGTTCGGCCCTCATGCTTAGTGCTATGCCTACACCTGCCAGTCCACGAGAACTGGCCATCGGGTCACCAGATACACGGAGGGTGTATCTCGTTGGCTCTCCGTTCTGCCGAGGTGAGGTCAAGTGAATGACCACACTGGGATCCTGTATGCGTGTTTCAGAGACACAGCATACATCAATGGAAAGAGACTCTAGGGTTTTAGCCAAGGAAGCCTGCTGACCGATTTGACATAGAGTGCGTACGTTGAAAGCTCCAATGTGTAGTTTGGAGCGAGGTTTCAGTAGACCTGGGGCAGGGTTTTGAACACTAGAATCGTTGGCTATATTGACACTTGAGGAGGAAGCCGAAAGAGGAAGTTTAGAGTGGAAAGTCGATGTAGGAGGAATAATAGGAAGTGAAGACGGAGGTTGATTATGAATACAGTGGTCTCGGGTGCTGTTAGAGGTATGAGGACGGTTATCACTTCCCGGTTGCCCACACCGTGGAAGGGTTCTTCTGGAGGTACCTGAAAAGGAGATTGGATTAGAGGTGGTCTCAGTGACCTGAGAGCGTGACCGCAGTGCCCAAGGGACAACTGCTTGAGGCCGGTCGCGCACGGCCTTTTCGTGGGAGGTTTTCGACGTGTTAGCTCCGTTCTTCAAAGGGCCTTACCGCCGGAGACGGAAATCCGTGAGGTAAGGTGAGGTGTGCATTTTTAGGGTCGACCTTTTCTAACCCAACCCCTCCTTGTGGGAAGGCAGCATCGCTGTCATGCTGGTTGTCTGAAGGAAACACCTTACTGCTGTCACACCTCTGTACAGTCAGCAGTACGACTTCGCCTTCGGACCTTGGGTTTGTTACTTTTAGTCTTACCGCTCTTCAACCGACCTGTCTGACATGGTAGGACCTTGAGGAACGGTTGTTCCAGTCAGTATAGCTCGGTTGCTTCATCACGATAGGCAAGCCCGACCACCACGTCAAGGTAGCAACAACGGTCGGGCAACTCTATGCTAATTGAATTAATAGAATGAATTAATCCCATATCTTTGTTAAGTTGTATTAAACCTTTAGATGTAAAGCCATGTTACCCACGATAACGCGTACATGATGTATCTGTAAGGATGGCAGATGTCTCAACTGAAAAAGTCATACGATTTTACGAATACTAGCTAAATTATCACCCTGTCTTAGTACTCCACATCTAAATCCATCATTTCACAGTGTATCAGAGGCTCATTGAAGGCAGTTGCAGTTCAATACAAATAAGCTATACATGCCTTATACCTCTGCAACTGTAAGGTAATGCGAAGTGGACTGCTGTTCAGCATGATCCCCCTTTGAAAGGTAAATGGATGTCTTACACGAACGATAAATGATGTTTCTTGTTAAACTTAATCTAGATTTTTATGTGTGTGCTTGAATTCGCTTATCCACCAATCTGTTAGGGTTGAAACAATATTTTGCATTTGAAGGGAGGAAACTGCATCTAATTAATTATCATCACTCAGTGTCCAAAAACCGTTATGTCAGCGCCTCTTTAGAACGTAAATGTATCACTTGAGTACTTCAAACCTATAAAAGAGTTTCTAGATAAAATATTTGAGAAATCTGTGGCAAAATAAAATGAAGGAAAAAAACAGGATGCGTGATTTCCTAGGACAGGGTCTATGATAAGCTACTACTTAGGTTAACTACGTCTAGCAACCTTCATCAATTCTGTGTTCTTTTGAATCCATGTATGTGGTTCAAAAGTGATATTTCTTTCGCTTGACAGGATTTAGTCTTTTACTAAGAGGTTTTTCCACGAACTCGCGGAACACAAACTGTTTAATGGAGATGCTGGAGAAAATCCTAAAGGAAGACCTGAAAATGTGTGGTACATGTTTACTTGCTGAATGCAAAACGATGGTCAATAATTTTCCCCAGCTTCATGATTGACTCGACAGTAGAGAGCGATCAGGTTGAGCCTACCAACTCTCCAAGTCACTTGCCTATATAGGTCACTCATGTTCAGAAAATCACACAGCCCAGTGTAGATGCGGTGTTAGCTTCTCTGTCGAAGACTTAGAATTTTACACCAGGTTAGATTCTACGTGCATACGTTTCTGCTTCAAAAGATAATATGAAAATACTAAAGTTTTAGATGCATAAGTTCTTTCAAAGCATTGTTTAACTGTGGTAGGGCTACTAACAAATCAGTGTTAGGACATACTTTAAGAACAGAATAAACGACTTGATTTGGAACATATAATGATCGATCTGTTTTAGATATGCTTCACATTGTTAAAATCTGTTATGTCGAATTATATTCGAATGGACTAGATGCTTAAGGATAAACAGACAAATTCATTATATTATCAGTTGTTAATCTTAGCAGTCTTAATGACTGATGAATTCTGTCAGGAAATTAAAAAGTACTGGATGTATTTATTCATTTGCTTTTTGCAATAATGCGTCCTTTCCCTTAGATATCAGGGATTGTGGGCGGGTTGAGCGACCACTACTAATAATAAATGACCAATGGAGTATTGATTACGGCCAGAATCGACGTAAATGCTCTATAATTACCAGAATAATATGGAAATCCTTGATTATTAGCTACTTCTGGACTTTGTCTGCCTACAGTACTGAGTTCAGCCAGTCGGAAAGTAAACAGGATCAAACAAAAACATATATCAATTCAATTAGCCACACCTCGTAAACACACCAAAAGCAGAAGGCTAATCCAATAGTAGTAAGCCGTAGCCAGTGAAAACAACCTAGTAGGGAATAAAACAGTAATCCATTACTGATACTATGTGTAGATCACGTCGTATCACAAATTAATTAAAGTTAATGTGAAGATTTTCAATTTGTTTTAATTACGTAGATGTATTGTGCTCACCTAAATAACTAGATGTTATAGGATCGGTCACAATTATTGTTCGGTGATCATCAACAAGTAACACCTGTCCAATCCCATTCATTTTTCAATGGTTTTACAGTTGAGGATAAGAAATTATATTTTTATCGAACAAAATGTAAATGACAGAGCTCATTGTTAAGATCAGCTATTACTTGGCGACAACTTTCGTATCTAGATATCGACCAAAATACATGACCTAAAACAGATTTAGCTGTCTGATGAATGACACAACTTAGATGTGTTTAACTAATTAGTAAATTTCATACACATAGTTCCCTTTATTATCTTAAATAGAGCAAGAACAAAGATTGGTGCAGAATAATATGAATTCATTTTATTTCTTTGGGTTCTCATCAGCTGCTTACAACCTAAAATATTTGAAAATCAACGTTATTACAGATATTGGCATACTCATGCATAAGAAGATGATTAAGGATGAATAAATGTATCATGGTGTAGCGAAGATTCCGATAGAGTTAATGAGGTCATAGAATTTTGTCTCGAATAAATAAATAAAGTTAGAGAGGGAAAGTTCCAGAACATTGAAATAGTGACTAGAACTCATGAAAATAGATTAATGGTAATAAAGAAAATATGAATTGAAATCAATCATTTATGTATGATGTAATTTATACTTCAGAAAGAGTTGCATTAATGACTCAATAAATAAATAAATAAATAGGGGCAAATTAATAGAAAGAGTGGGGGTTATTGTTACCAGGGTAAAGAAAGATTTATTACTGTCTCTTTTTGTATACATAGATCTGGTTTTAAACGTTTGATTGCTAACGCTTCAGCGAATTTCAAAAGGTTGGAGTTTGATTGTTTGTTAATCACTTTGAAGGACTTCAGTATATCAGCTTTATGTCCTGTATCAAGGAGATGTCTTGCGATAGCACTGTTGAATGCGTTTAATTCATTTAACCTTAAACTTTTCGGAATATGTTCTTTGAATCGGACGTAGGCTCTCCTTTCTGTTCTACCAATGTAACTGCTTTGGCAGATACTTGTGAATTTGTATACACAGTTGGTAGTAACATGAAAGGGATACCTGTCAACCTTGGATTGTGTCAAAGAACATGTTGTTTTGGACAGGACAATCAATTTCGCTGCAGGATAAGTTCTTGTCAGTGCAGTTTTTAGTCTCATATTGATTGATTCTGTGACATCGTCACCTTTGAATTGAAGTTGAATAAAAATAGGCTTTTTATTTGCTGTAATTTCTTTCGGTTTTTTATCTTCACATTTGCCGTATTTCTCAATAAATTTCAGTGG